TCTTTTCTTTTTTTTTTTTTTTTTTTTTTTTTTTTAAGTTTTTTTTTTTTTTTTTTTTTTTTTTTTTTTCTCAAGAGGTTAGTGCAGTTAAATGGAATTGGATAATTGAGGTTTGGCATTATTAAATTTGATTTTGATTAAATTATAATTGTTCCATTAGAGATTGTCCTATCTTCATTTGTAAATTGTTACAAAACACTATATAAGTTCAGAATTATATATTATTTGTAGTGGGATTGTGGTTATCTTTCATTAAAATCTTAGATAAAAACTTAGTTCTGGAAAAAAAAAAATTTAAGGAAAATATTTTTGTTAGAAAACATATTCCAAATTGAAATTAGTTAAAAAAAATTATAAAAACTCGAACGTATAAACTACAAAAATATTCAAAATTATAAAAATTTACTATTAAATATGAGAAGAAAATATATAAAAATAATAAATTGTATTAGTAACTAGTGACTCGTGCATTGTTGAAATGCTCATATTTTAAGCAGCCTATTGGTTAGGCTTGCAGCTGGATTAGGCCCACACGACACCGCACCATTTCCTACTCCAAACGGAGGTCAGTGCACCGTATAGCCATATCACTACTTGTATTTCAAATTACATTATTTTTTAAAAGAACATAAATCTACTATGAGTAAATTATATAATTAAAAAGAAAAAAATAATGAAAATGATTCGTTTTAGGATTTATCTGGTGATGATTTTAAATTAGTATCTAAACAATCTATATTATAAATGTCTATAGAAATTTTAATAATTGGATAGTTACGTTTGGATTCTAATTAAATTAATTAATTATATAGTACTTATACTCATCCAAACTATATTATTCTTAAATCTAGACACAAGAAGAACAACTACAAATTGTAATTTGGGCAAACAAAATATAATATTTTAAAAATTTCCAAGAATAAATGTACAATTTGTAATATAATTAGAGCTGTGTTCCATGATAGTTTTTTTTAAATAATTTTTAGCATTTTGATCGAATAAAATATTAAACATTAGTCGGTAACACAGCGTTTGAACTGGTTTTTAGAGGTTAAATAACGTTTTATAATTAACCTATATAACGTTTAACTTTTAATATTTTGTGAAAAGTTATTTATAACTATTCAAACAACTAAACGTTACTAAAATGGCTAACAGTTATAAAAATATTTAATTTTTTTAAACACACTCTAAGTAAATATGGAGAAAAGAAAAAAGGCAGCTTGAATTCTCTTTCCGCTAAAATATCTTCTTATTAAAAAACTTTGCTTTACAATAAAATAAAATTTCATTTATTTTGAATTTTTGGAACCAAAAAGTGGGATTTACATATTCTACTATTTTCCTTATTGCACATTTTAAGAAAAGACATAAAGCTACGATTTTGCTTAAAGTGAATAATATATAATTAGCCAACCCACCGACTTTTTTTTTTTTTTTTTTTTTTTGCTTAAAGGTGAAATAATATATAATTAGCCAACCCACCGAAACTTTTTTTTTTTTTTTACTTTTTTTTTTTTTTTTTGACAACATTTTCTTCTTAATTCATTGGCCAACGCAATTTGGTTTAAGCATGCGCAGATAGATAATTTATATATTCCCTTTTTAAAATAATTTTTAGTCTTACTTAAATTAAATATTTTTATTCCATCATTTAATTTAGTTTTATACATAATTCAAATTCAGTTTGATTTAAAAAAATTAATTTAATTTTTGATTTTATCATTTGATTTGATTCATAATTGTATTCTCCATTCCAATCTAATGAAAATTACCTGATTTTAATTTAGATAAATAAATCATTAAATAACATTGTAAGCTTATTCATTCATCAATCTAACTATTTTTGTTTTAGTTATAATAATTTTATTCTCTTCATTATTGCAAAAAATACAAGTTGGAATATACTGGGTAACGAGATCTCACTAGTGCTGCAATTTGAATTATAAATTTTTTTTTCTTTACAATATGAAAAAAAAAAAAAAAAGGTTTTAGGTTTTCATTATAAGCTGGAAGATCCTTTTTGTTAATTCAAACTTTATAATGAAATCACCAAGTAAATGGGAAATTTTTTTAAAATGAATTTGAATGGAAGAACACACGAAATTTGACTAGATTTGGTCAAATGAACATTTTAGTTTATGTTTATTAAATATACAATTACGTGGAAGCTGCCTCGTGTGCCCATAGCAGGCTACATTTAATACGATAATATATATTAATAGATGCCAGACCAACAAAAATTTAATTTGCGAAAATGTGTTGATTTAATTTAAAGCAATTAAGTATAAATTATATTTCTTACAGTTTGGATTCGAGAGCCCATCGTGTACTACCCCATTTGACTTTTAGTGTAAACGAAGATTAGAGCAAGTTTTTTATAAATAAAAAAAAAAAAAAAAGGTTTTATAATAAGTGGGAAGATCCTTTTTTTAATTCAATTATTAAGAACACCAAGTAAATGGGAAGATTTTTTAAAATTGAATTGTTAATGAAGAACACAGCGAATTGATATGATTTGCATGACATTTTATTATGTTTATTAAATATACAATTAGTGGGAGCTGCCTCTGTGCCCAAGAGGCTACATATACGAATATAATAATAATGCAGCCAAAATAGGAAACATGACAAAAATTAATTTGCCGATCTTAGTTGGATAATTAAGCTATAGTTAGATATATATTTTCTTACAGTTGGATTTTCTTGAGAGCCACGTGTACTACCCATTTGACTTAGTAAACGAAATAGAGCAATTTTATAATAATAATAGTCACAGGATATGAAATGATACGGATTGCCTTGCTCACATAAATCCAAATTCCTTGTATATATTATACACTAATGGGATATTAAACTATGCCCTAATTTGCTTAATTAAAATATAATCATCGTTGTCCTTTTTTTTTTTTCTTCTTGTTCTTGTGATAGGAGACTGTAATGGTGTGGTGTCCATAATTTTTAATTTTTTATCAATTCCTTAAATTTTGCGATCTCTCGAGAGAAGTGTTTGAAAACTATACTCATAGTCTATTTGACAAAATTAGATATTTTGATAGCTGTTAATTATTTTAATAACGTGTAACCATTTTAATAATTTTTCATAAAACGCTAAAAGCTAAATATTATATGAGTTAATATTTTAGAAGATGTTCATTAATTTCTAAAAGTTAATTTAAACGTTATATTACCGAACACCATAAAAAATAACGTCCAATTTTGTCAATGTAAAGCGTATAATTAGAGTTTTTAATGATTATGGGTATATTTAATTGAAAGTAGAAGAATGGATAAGGATTAACATTTGATGACCAATATTTGGAGTGTATGTAAAAGGTAAGAGAGACAAGGAGTAGACAATCACACCAAACTTATATGCCATTTAGAACCTAATTAAAAGGTCAAAAGATGCTAATTACAAACCTACTAATTAAACAGTAAACACCTAATTAACAAGCAAAAGGCATTGGTTCTTTGCTTTCATGTGATGCCTAATCCTCAAGAACCATAAATTAAACAATTTTTTTGTGGAGACAATTAATCAAAGATTCCCTTTATATCCTACACCTACATCCATATAGTGCGTCTAATTATGGTACTCTAAATTATTTTTGTTATGAATAATATTACTGCGTGTACTCGTACAATTTAAATTTATTAATCGCATTCAGTGGTGGAACTAAGAAGCTCATAAGACTCTAAATAAAAATTACTTATGAGAAAAGAGCAAAAAGAGAAAAAGCTCAGAAGACAAGTTTGTCCTCACTTCCATCATTTAAAAAAAGATAAAAGAGAAAAAAAATATTATTTATGAGATTTTTGCTTACACCCAAATGTATTTAATTTTGGTTAGAGTTAAATGTATTTGATTAGATCAGTAGTAAAAATGAGATTTTTAGATTTTAAGCCCCTTATTATTATTAGTTGTTTGGACATGTTTTCTTCAGTGGTATCAGTTAGTATTACATTCATTTATTAGATATGTATTTGGGTATTAGATTTATTTTAAAGTTTTAATTAATTAATATATTACATTTATTTATGAGATTTTTATTTCCATTCAAAATTTATTTAATTTGGTTAGATTTAAATGCATTTCATAACATTAGATTATATTCGATTTTCTTATGACACATGGTAAAAGTGAGATTTTTAAGCTTATTACTAATAGGTATGGTGTATTTTGATTTTTTTTTTTCTATTGAAAGTTGCTAATATATTAATTATTTTAATCAGGGTTAATTATTATAATAATTGAGTATGAGTAAATTTACAATGGGATAATGATTTTTACATATTTTTACAAAGTAAAGTTACTTGCCCTTACTTGTTTTTACAATTTAATTTATGATTTCTTACGTTAATTTTGTCATAGTCTACACTCAATAAGATTAATTTGTCATATTTGAATACCAGTATAAACATTAACCGCTCAATAAGATAAATAATTAAAATAACTTTTTTAAACTTAGGCAAATTTATCCGCTCGCAAATTTGAGCCAGGTAACGCTCCTACGTGCCCACCTTTTAGCTTACTCCAGCGCCACGTGTATAAACACGTGAGCTCAATATCTTCCAGCACTAATTATTTGCTTGCTTGCTATGAGCAAACCACGCATTTTTAGTACTAAACCAGTCTCCTCCTGCCTCCTTTGCTCTTTTTTGGCTCCATAAATACCCGCTGCTTCTTCTATCCTTTCTCGTCCGAAAAAATTGACCCCGTCTCTCTCACTCTCTGTTTCTTCTTAAACATAACTTTCCTTTTCTCTGTTTTAGCTTTCTCATCATTATTCTTCCATTTCAAGAAAATCTTCATCAATAATAATAATAATAATAATAATAATAATAATAATATCTCTGTAAGTACATTTGTTGCATGTGTTGTTTTTCTTGAATATTTCGATTCTTCAGCTCCAACACATTTTTAGTACTAAACCAGTTCCAATTTGTTGGAGTTGCAAAGAAGGCGTGGATGTTGTAATGGAGACAAAAGGTGGCACGAAGAAATCTACGAGTAGTAGTAACAGTAGTAATTCGCTTCAATACGAAGTTCCTCTTGGCTATAGCATTGAAGACGTCCGTCCAAACGGTGGCATCGAGAGATTCCGATCAGCTGCTTACTCTAATGTAAATAATCTTAATCCCAGCAGAAAAATAGTTCTTTTATTTCTCTCCTATTTTTGCTTTTGATTTTCATTTCTTTTTTGTTTGGTTTGTGCCAGTGTCTGAGGAAGCCATCCTGATACGATTCCAGAAAAGAAAATGTCTCCTTCGGTAGATTAGGATTCTCATTTGACCTTTCCATTTTATCTTATTTTCAGTAATTTTAACCAGAAAAAATAAAAACAGTACGATACTATGGCCGTCGACTCACCATCAATGTCTGCTTCTCCGATAGGATTCGAAGGCTTTGAAAAGCGCCTTGAAATTACCTTCAATGAACCACCCATCTTCAAAGACCCTACTGGGCGTGGTCTACGCGCCTTGACTCGGTCTCAACTCGACTCAATTCTTGAACCTGCTTGTTGCACCATTGTAACCCAGCTTTCTAACTCTGAGTTCGACTCTTATGTTCTCTCCGAGTCAAGCTTATTCGTTTTCCCATTCAAAATAGTGCTTAAAACCTGTGGAACTACTAAACTGCTTTTGTCCATCGAATCGATTCTTAAACTCGCCGAGTCACTCTCACTTTCTTTATTTGATGTTAACTACTCTAGAGGCAGTTTCATTTTCCCTAATTACCAACCTGCCCCTCACCGGAGCTTTTCTGAAGAAGTTACCGCCTTGAACGAGTTTTTTGGCCATTTAAAAACTGAAGCCTATGTACTCGGCGGTTCTTCAGCTCCAAATTGGAACTGGCATATTTACTCGGCATCAAGCGGATCATCACAACCGTTGATGAAGGATCACACGGATACGCTTAATGTTGAGATTTGCATGACTGGCTTAGAGAAAAAGAAAGCGGCTGTATTTTTCAAAAGATCGGCTGATTATTCCGCCAGTGATATGACAAGAAGTTCTGGAATATTTGAAATACTCCCAAGTCACTTGATATGTGACTTTGACTTTGACCCATGTGGTTATTCTATGAATGGAATTGAAGGTACAGCTTTCTCAACGGTGCACGTGACCCCAGAGGATGGATTCAGTTACGCTAGCTATGAAGTTATGGGATTGGAGCCAAGTCAAGTTAAATTGACCACACTAGTCAAGAGGGTAGTTAATTGTTTTGGACCAAGCGAATTTTCAATTGCAGTCACGTGCCATGGTGGTGCGGACAAGTGGTGGCCCAATGAATGCGATGACGTGGATGGATACTCTCGCCGGAGTATGGTGGAGCAGGAACTAGTAAGTGGTGGCGGTAGAGTGGTGGTGTATATGACTTATGAAATGAAAGATAAAGGGCGTCTTGTAGTGCCTGCTTCAGCCAAGGTTTCCATGCAGTGTTAGCATGAGGTGGCGGAAGAGGAAAGCGTTGTGGTTGTTAGCGGTGGCTGTGGCTGCAGTGGTGGTGGTGTGGGGGTTTTTCCTTGTATTTCCTCAGCTTGATTGAGTCCAGACAAGCAGAGTGTCAGTTTTGTCTTCGTCTTATGACTCAAAATCATAGCCACGTGGAATGAGTAAAAAGGTCGTTTGATTTGTCTTTTTCTTTTCAAGCTTTTTTTATATGAATGTTTGGGGTATTCTCGTCGATTTTCAGTTTTTTGAGTTGATCTTTTTTTTAATAACGAGGAGTTTTAATCCCACGGCATCAACTGAAAGCGTCAAAATTTTTTATCCTCTCAGTAAACTGTTAAGTGTGTTTCCCGGGGATCGGAGAAGGAAGAACCTCTTCAACCTACATAGACTCCTGAACAAAATTAAAAGCAAACTTAAAAAGCTCATGAATAACTTGATTGTTCGTTGTATGAGTATGAACACATAAATAAAACTAGCAGCTAAAGAATCCAACAATAGTAATCTTGTGTCACAATCCGTATCAGGGAATTTTGAAAGTGCCACAATCCGTATTAAGGAAATTTCGGGAATGAAATGGCTGCACCATAACGAGCGAAACCTGTTTCCAAAATAATTGAAGAAAATCCTAACTCCAATGATTTTTGAACACCAAAGATAATAGCTTCCAGTTCTGCATTTTCTAGGGAGAGGTTAACGTGATAAATATTGACACCTGCTCCTTGAACACGATGGGCATCGTCCCTGATAACAAAACCCAAATTGCAACCTTAATTATCTCTCAGCGAAGCGTCTACGTTCAGCTTATACATTCTTTTTAGCGGAAACTCTACAGTCGCACCGGGGTAACTTCAACGGGATTCGGTCTAGTAATGTAGATAACAAAGTGGGTACCACTTTATGCCCATAAAGTTTGGCATAAGGTCAGGATTCTTTGTCATCTGCTTTTATTTGGTTAATAATATTATCACCGCAGATTTGGCTTTTCTTTAATTTCAAAGTCTTTCCAGAAAGCTAATTCTAATTTTGATGCCTTCCCCGTCTTTGTGTTTTTATTAGTACTTTGTTTATTTGTTGTGCTTAGCAATTGCCCATGTGATGTCCTACCATAAAAAAAAAAAAAAAAAAAAAAATTGATGCTCTTTCCCTTCGTCTTTGTGTTTTTATTAGTACTTTGTTTTATTTGTTTGTGCTTTAGCAATTGCCCATGTGATGGTCCTAAGCCAATAAAAAATAAAAAAAAAAAAAAAAAAAAAAAAAAAAAAAAAAATTACCTACAGATTGTGATTCAGTTGGCAATACAGGCTCGACGTGTTGAAAAAATTTTTGAGTTTTATCCTCATTAAACACACCTGCAAAGAGGGGCGAAGAGCCTTAACTATGACTAAACGTCAAGCTGAATTAGACAATCCCTGTTAATGAAGTCCGAATATCGGTAGTTTACACCAGAAAAAGAATAATTCAAGACAACAAAAATGTATTTTATATTTTTTTTACAGATTCAAACAAGTGAATTATGTTAAATAACTTTTTATTTTTGAAGAATTTCATGCTCACGATGAAAAGAGCATTTCAATCTTCCTTTTAATTTATGCAATCTTTAAGTTTTAGCTTTCTATTTTTCTTTTAAAAAAATGTTGTTTTTTAAATTTTGATAAATTCATTAATACACTAAAAGAAAAGCATGGAAGAACATGTCATTAATGGACTGATAAAAATCTAAGAATCACAGAAGGGATATTGGTTTGAAGGGAAAAAGACTCAAAATCCATTGAGTAAGATATATAACAAAAAATCAAGAATCATAGTTATCATTTTTGTTCGTCACTATCAATTATCAACAACTATCAATCTTATCACTAACAAACATCGTAAATTATTATTTAATATATTTTTCATATTTAAAGTAAATTAAATAAAATATTAAATTTTTATATTTATATTTGCAATCTATAAATTAAAATTTAGTATCTTCAAAAAAATTTACAATACTACAACCAAATCATTATTTGTTTCTTCTGCAGTAGTCTTTTACTTGGGCCTTAGACCTTAGTCCACTAACCCTGTTGTACAACGCAGTAATTTATGGTTTGGGCTCAGCATAAACTTTCAGTTCGATTATAGAATTAAAAAAAAAAAAAAAAAAAAAAAAAAGTAGAAGTTATGTAAAAGTAATTATTAAATTAGAAGTTTTTAAGTTCAGTGCCTTCCAAGGACTTTCTATAAGAGACGGAGAAATTTACAAAATTACAAAGTCCCTCATAGCAAAACCTCACCCAATTCAGGTGAATATTTAGTTATCTTCATGGATACCAGAAGGCGATAAGTTACCCTGTGGATTTATTACTCTATTGCACCCCTGAAGTACCGTACTCTAGAGTCTCCAAATATCAAACAACTAATTCTGAGAAAATTTTTTAGATAACCATAACGGTCCCTTTAGAATAATTCGTATGTAAATATTGGATGTGAGTATTTGCGAAAACATGTCTACAGCATAAACTTTCCCAGATTACCCCTGTTATAGATGTATAGATATTAATAAAAACTAAAAAAAGAATTAAAAAAAAATAAAAAAAAAAAAAGAGAGAAAAAACAATGTATTTTCAAGTTAATTATAATCTAGGCCCAAAGAATACGTTTGTGAATTTGTGAATCATCGTGTGAGTATGTGTTCTATTGTGCTTGACGTACCCAATGGTAATATGAGCCTAGTGTAATTTTGGATTAATATGATTAGTATGAAAATGTATTATTAGGTATGTAATCGAGACGATGTGAGCCACAACTTAACATATCAGTCAACCGAAAAGTGCCCCCAAAAATTTACAACAATGTATATATATTGGCTTTTTATAAAAATATAGAGATAAATTTTATTAATTTATTTGAGAAGTTTGAGCTGTCTTATGCCAAAAGTTATGTTAGAGGGAGTGTACGAAAATCCAGAGCCAAAGAAATTATCTTGTGAGGATAGAACTAGCTTAGTTTATAAAGAAAATGTAAGTAAGGTTCCACCCGTTTAATAGAGTTTCATTTATTTATGTGAATTTGTGTCCAAAGTGAATTAATATTTCTCAATCAAAAATAACTTGAACCCGGAACAATACTACTAAAAACGCCATATTTTAATTAAGATGTCACATAAAAAAAAGTAAACTTAATTACTTATGAATAGATATAGTATAAATTTCTTAATTTTTCACCCTTGTTCTATTTTTGGTTCTCTAAAGCTTAAAGTATCAATATTCTTATTCTTCATTTACTCTTTTACATCTCATTATTCTATATTTTAATTTCTAACATTATCTACTATTCCTCCAACTTTTGCATATAAGATTATGTCCCAATTACTTTGTGATATTATTCTGAAATTACCCATTGCGTACTGAAATTCTTCATGCGATCTGGCAATATAGAATTATCATTAACTTTAAATTCTGTTATACCCAGCTTATTTGACCCAATAGTGTCGAATGACCTAATAAATATATTATACTTGTAAAATAGTGTGTTATTTTTTCCCTAAATTTGTCATAATGAGAAACTGTCTATTGTGGAATAAATGGTATCAATAGTGGAATGATCAACTCTATGGGTGTAGTTCTTGGAGTATAAAGGCAACTTCTTCCTGACCTACTCGAATCTCTCCTTAAAAGGCCACACTCTTCTTATTATGTGCCTAAATCAACATCACCCCATCCTGAGTATAACTCTTAACTGGAGCAACCTCCATGGATCGGCACCTGCATCGATATTGATATGATGAGTATGAAATCACAGAGTAATATTATAATGGTATTCCTCTTATGGTTGATAAAAAGGAAAAAGACTAGAAAGAATGAGTAAAAAATAATATATATGTGTCGAGGTATTCCAAGTTGCTCTGCAAATGTATGAATAAAGATGCGACCATGAGAATTTTCTCTTATCTCATTTAAAGACCACAGGTGAAGTCTGGGTCTCGAAAAACACAAATTTAAGGTGCAAACTAATGTATAAATTAAAGACGGGATTAAGATGTATCATATAAGTATGAGGCAGGGATGCCATGTGGGGTCCACGAAATTCAAAGTAATGATGACGGTTCTTCATCGTATGATTGTTAGACCGAATCCGCAGGTTCATTCTAATAATAAAATTGCTCGAAAATCCTGACTTTATAAGTGACATTTTAGCAAGTAAAGATGAAATAGAATATGTATTATTATTAAATATAAGGTTTAAAATTAATGATATTATGATAACAGAATGCATATATGGATTCTTATTTCCCCAATTGAGTAACGTTAGAATTATAACTTGAGTCTGGAAGCGCAGTTTGGTATTACATTGATTAATCTGAGTTCCCAGGAAACATCTGGGTCACCCTTAGATTGAATAGCTCATTTAATTAACAAATCCAAATCTTTCCACTTGTAGATTTGGTACGGAATGCTAGGTACTCTCCGAAATTAACTAGACAATTCTCCAAATAGAACATTTTAAGATATCATATCACAAAAGTATCCTTATGTAAAAAATATCTAGTACAGTTGTCTTCTACTAATTTCGTTGTCCTTACGCAGTCAACTTTCCCCCTAATTTAACTACTGTCCACTCAATCTCCTCCTTCCCAAGGAAAAACCTCCCAAAATGGCTTTCCCAAATCCTTCCCTACTAACCAAGATTAACCCCTTGTAAAAAACAGGCCAAGATCTAGTAGAAATTTTCCTTTTACTCGGTGCAGTAAAGCATCTGTAAGGCCCCTGTTAGCCAGTCAACCCTAGTAACTAAAATAATATAGAATATACAAAATCCCTTTATCGTTCAATAATTTAATTCATGTTAGAGTATGGTTGACTACGAGAAACTTTTATTGTAATATATAAAGCTATAATTTATGATTTTGAATAACTACCGTCTTAATTTAAGGTGAAAGGATATTTATAGAATTAAAATCAATATCAAATAATTACTTGCCACCCGGATTCTTATGCCCCTATACAATATATAAGAAGTAAATTTATAGTGAACACAGGTCCCCATACCCATTATTGGAGTTGTAGATATATAAATCTCTTATCTAAATTAAGTAAGCTTAAAAAATATGGATATTTCTTAATGAAATGATGGCTCTTTTCGATAATTTCATTAATGTATAAAAATGGTGGTGTAGAAAAAATTACTTATGTAAATAATCGAGAGTCGACTTAAGATTTTAAAGCTATTTATTATTATTATAAATAAAATTTATA